AACCGTCCAATCTGCAAAGCATCCCTGGCTACCTGGGCCCGTGCGCAGGGCCGGGTCTTTCCCCCCCTGCCCAGGTGACCAGAGCATCGCCTCCCAGGCGCCAGGCTTTTGTCTGCAGACAAGGAGCGAGATCCCCGCTGTGAGAGATTCAACAGCAGCCTCTAAGGCTGGCTGAGACAGATCTCTGGAGAGGGGCACCGACGGGGCATTTCCGCCACACCCGGGACCTAGCGCCCAGGCAGCCCCCTTCCACAGACATATACCCCCCCATACACACCCTACACCCCAAAGGCAGAGGCATGTGATCCCAGCCTCTCCTGTTCCTCTCACTTCTGAACACTGTTCCTTGCCTGCCCCATGGTGAGTTGTTGCCGGGGCTGGAAGACAGCCATTTTGTGTGCCTGTTAATGCAACTGAGTGGCTCAGTAAATATATCACACTGGAATATATATAGGTTGCATATATGCCACTTGATTTGACTTGTTTGCCATTTAAATTAAAAAATGAATATCCTATTAGCACCTTACCGACTAGATACACATTTCATTTCTTACTGCACTGTATTAAGTGGCGTTTAGAGTTGGTGCTGGGTTGCAATGAAGATGCTGCTGACATCAGTCACCCCTAGCAGATGCACCTGGGCAGAGCTGATATGCTCTCCTAGACTTCTGTATGATTCTTCAGACTGGATAAACTAGTGGTTCCTCAACCTTTTACAGTTGACTGCTGTCAACCCTCAGCACTTTTCACAAACCTTGAAGCAGTCTTATCAAACTTTTAGTTGAAGGAAGGTGTGTGATGTGCTCCGGACCTCTTCCCAAATAGTGGTCTCAGGTCATGGTAACAGCTGGATAAGCCTTTCTTGAAGGCTTTGCATCAAAAAGCCACTTTTCAGCGCTCTGCCAAAACACATGCTGTCTTTGAAATTGCAGTAGTTCAGTGGCTTTAAAGTGAAATGTCCACTTGCCATCTTGTCTGTTTTCATGACCTATTTCCCCTTTGAAATCGGCTCCCTTTCCTCTGGAACACCGTGAATGCTGGAAGACCAAGAAAAACCCTTTCATGGCCCCTTGCTGGAGAGCACCACTGCTGCTTGCCATTGCAAAGATTTTCAAGTGCTCTGGCAGGGGTTTGTAGGGGATGGCCATGTATCTGTATGGCATGCAAGAGCTCTGAATTTGAAGTGCGACAGCCTACAAGGGACACGGGAGCAGACAAAAAAAGCTGGAGTTTTGTTGTGCACAGCAGCATGATCTAGCAGATGAAGTGCAGGACAGAGAGAGCTAGAAATGGTGTAAGGTATCAACTGTTTGCTGAATGTTCAAGGTATTTTTCTGCATCCCCTAAATTCAGTAGAATGGTACTGAGGATGGCTTGGTTTGCTTTGGAAAGGCAGGCAGCAAATGATAGGGAAGAAAGGGAAATAAAGGCGCTGGAGACAGGGGCCTCCTTGAACACACTGTGTTGGAGGTGACATGTCCTCTGTGTTATTTAGGAATTTGTAGTGCTGAAGAGTCACTGATGAAAATGCCTTTGTGTTTAAAAATCCACCTCTGCTGAATTTGTTTCTGGGTTTTCAGAATGAATTGTCCCAAGGCTCAAAAAACGAAAAAGAAAGAACCACACAGGAGGTTTCATTAGTCCTCAATTTTTCTATCTCATTCATCAACCCTTTAAAACAAAGTGTAGCCAGGAAGGGCCCTCAAATGTAGCCTGTTGCTGCTAATCATTAAGCCTACAACAGCTCAGAAGCTTTAAGTGTCAGACCCACCCGCATTTGTGTTTGCAACATCAAGGACCTCATGCTTGGCTTGATATAACGCGGTTGTTTCCTAGAGTGTGGTGCCAGTGCAATGCGATGGTTCCCATTTCTAGTCAGGGTTATTGATGCTGCTGCTATAAGTAACTCTTTCCTCATGAAATAAACTTATGCCTTGTCTACATGCAGTTTGAGTGGTGTAGTTTAACTTGCACCTGGGCAGGGGGTCCAGTTATCGTGATGTAAAGATGTTTGTTTATGCCCGCAGATTTTTAAAGCCAGAAGGATCATTAGATCATCTAAGTCCAGTGCCAGGCAGGGAGAAGACTGTATCATGCTGATGTGAGGCATGTTTATGCTGGCATCACTAGGTCCATACTAGAAGCTGTATCAGTATAGACCATTTGAGTAAATAAATCACATGACATATTGAAATAATGACATTACATCTGTGTGTAGCCAGGTCTCCCTTTTGGGGGGGGACAGGAGAGACTTTAAGAGGTTCCCTGCAGGTTGTAGCTTGAATTCACTTGGGTAGGTATGTTATATGCCTCTAGGCATGAATTACAGCAGAGACGGCAAATCTCTTCTTCAGCTTCAGCTGTTATGGGCCCATACTCATCCAAGATTTAAAACTCTAGGAAGTGGGCAGGCTTCGGTCTGTTTCATGATGATGTTCTCTCTTTTGGGCACCTGGCAGGGTCTTATGCACACCTGATGTGCTGCAGAACTTGACTGCCTGCCTGCACTTACTGTCATTTTCCAGCGGATACATCACACCACCAAAAACATATCAAATTGTGGAGGAAAGTTCTTAACATAAATTTGATTGAATTTTGGTCACCTCTATTGCTGTGATTTCAGTATCTTTTTTTTTTGTCACAAGCTTTTTTAATGTGTAAGTCATACTTTAACTTCCCACCTCTATTTCTTTTTGGGGGAGAGCATGTAATATACCAGGAATTACAGTACCTGCAAGCTCTGAACATACTGCTCCTTCGAGCTTTGTGCTCTTCCTGGATGTTTCCTGCAATTTGCGGTCATTCAGTGCTCTTGCAGCATTCAGAGGCAGGGCTGCAGTGCCCCTAAAGATGGGTGGGAAGCTGCCTCATGCAGATTGATGCCACCCTGTGGCTGGGCAGCATTTGTCTCTGAGGATTTGCCAGTGTCTCATTGCCTGCCACATCAGAGGTGGTTCCCACCATCTTCATGCAGAGTCTCACCTCACCACACCCATGCCCTCCTGCTCAGCATGTTCCCCTCTGTGTGTGGCAAAGGCGGTGCAGAGAGCTGTTTTTTGTATGTTCTCATACCTTGTAGAATAGGGCCGCCTGTGCTGGAGACAGATGATTCCCATTGAGTGCAATCTCTGGGCTGCTCACCTTTGCCGGTCCCTGGAGAATCTGCCTTCAGCTTCCTTGAGCAGAGAGAATGCAGCATTGAACCAGCACGTGATCATTGGGAGCTTCCTTTTTGAGTCAGTTAACGTGTCATTGCTCTGGGGACGGTGATGCTGTTACTCATGTTCTTTTCTGGCTATCGAAGGTGCAGATTATTAATAAGAAGCTGGACCTTGGCAGCGTTCAAGCCAGGTGTGGCTCAAAGGATAATATCAAACACATCCCAGGAGGCGGCAGTGTGAGTACCTTCACACCTTGATGCACTGTAATAGAATTGGCATGACTCTGCACTAACCCGCCAATGCTATCTCTAGTGACCGCGTGCTCAGATAGCGATTGGGGACGTGCGATGAATTAACTCATTAACATGGAAGACCCAGTTGGATAAAGTCTAACGTTAAAGTCCTGTACATGCCTTTGCCCAGGCAGAGCTAACCAAAACCCTTCTAGAACGAGTGGAAGAGAACAGCCCTGTTAATCCAAAGGTTTCTGGGTATTTGGAAGTACAGGTGCTTTATTGCCTGCAGAGCAGAATAATGCTAACAGGTATTAGGTGAATATTAATGCTTGCCACATGCTGACGAGTACTATAGATGGATATTTTCTGACATGAAGGCAAACAGAAGCCCTGTTTTTATTTCCTGCTG